CACCCGCGCTTGGTGCTCGGATTTCACCTCACACGGGCAATCCATGGTGTCGGAGCGTTCGATCTTCGTGACGGCCACTCGCCAAAAGGATCACTGAGCTCGCCTTCTCACTTAGAGATCACAGGGCCTCCGGGCTAGGGTGCCCAAGTCCACCCATACTTGCCTAGCCACCCCAGGCACAGAACTCAGCTCATTGCTTCGGAACCTCGACCGCCCCATACCAGTGACTGACATTTCGGCGTCTTAGGGTCGCCGGCTACCCACCGCAGTCCGGAACGCGTGATTCCTATACGGGCGCGTTACCGCCAGACCACGGCCCGGATTTCCACCGGATCGCAAGGACATGCACGCATTCCCTGAATACGAGACCGAAACTGTCCTACTGCGAAACCGCCTGCCCCCTCGAGTCCAACACCATTCATAGAGCGTGGCGTGTAGCTGTCCACGCCAGGGCACCACTCTATCCCGAGGTACCGAATTTGCCATTGACAGACGCGTTTCTGTATAGCTCCCGTTCGGTTCCGGGACGGAAATCAAAATCTCCTACCTCGCTCTGCAGTTACGACGGCCGTACGAAACTTTACTCACTCCGTACAGGGCGACCAAGGGTGCCGCCAAGCCTAAGATTAAGATCGAATACCAGGCCGTCGTTTTAAGGGCAAACGTGTCGAGGCATCGGGATTAGTAACTAGTCTAAGTGCAATTAGGCCCTCCTTAGAGTCATAGTTACTCCCGCCGTTTACCCGCGACTACACCGTTTACACTATTATATCACAAGTGAGCCGCTATACGCGCGAACGCGAGTAATAATTTCCTACTAAGTTAATCAGCTTAAGCGATGATCGCACGGTATAAATTGCTGATACATCACCGAGAGCTATTTCCTGCTAGATAAATTGCAGGACATAGAGCTTCATAAGTTGCTCCGTGAGTTGCTAGTCCGAAGGTTTCTGATCTCCGATCGTCCGTGTTGGCCCTTTTATAGAGCAAAACTCGCGCAAAAATTTTCCTTCTCCGGCAACCATCAGCTGATCTGTCACAGTAGGGATATAATCAGCTGATTAACTGTCAAAGTAGGGATACAACAGCTGATGGCAGTGGTAGAGGCTAGAGCATCCGCTGTTCCGTAAATAAACAAAGTCGTTGATCCGTAGTGTCACAATCTAGAGTTAACTTATCGAGATCGGACAGTGATTTTCTTTCACTGTAAGCCAAATTATGAGCTTACAAGGGGTGAGAGTGAGGGTTGAGAACTATCAACAACAAATTTTAACACGACGTCAAGGGAACTAGATCTGAAATTAAAATAGATGCAATACACTACGGTATCAACAAAAAAAGATCTTCGAATAGTCTCACTCTCGCGAGTTTCATCCAAAAAAGAATTACGATTATTATTATTACATATTTGAAAATGGACCACGTTTGCGAAAATAAACGAACGAAATTTATCAGAGAGAAAAATGACGTTTCTCGAATAAATTAATTCGCAATTCATCGCCGAGTGTTGAACGAAATTTTGTTTTATTCATCAAATGAGTAATCTAATCGGTCACGTTAAATTTAACTCTTAGATACTTAAATTTGATTTATTATCTCTTCATATATACTTCTTTCTTAACGTACGTTTGCACACACACATGTATACGTGAGTTTGAAGTATGGCTTTGAAAGAAAAGCCGTACTAAAGCAATTTCTACGGCACTTTACTGATGCTGTTGCTCTGCCGTGCACTCCACGATCAAGGTATTGATACGGGTAATTCATGGGTTTGACCTATATTTAAATCGGTGAGAACAAAAAAAAAAGATTGCAGAAAACAAGGAAAAAAAGTTAAAAGATAAGAAAAAACTCGTATGCTATTTAAGTCACATTTAAATAGCATTACTTCGTCGAGTTATTTAAAGATTTGTAAGCGGTAAATTTATTTCCCTATTTTACAATTCGAAACCAGGGGTAGTGTGAGGGATCAAAGTGTTCAATTGCAATTCTTTAACACTATAAAAACTATACTCGTAAAGTTGATGGTTATCGAGTTAAAAATTGTCGAAATCATTTTATGACATACAGGTCTTCGAGAGCCGAATTTATGATCGACATTTTGAATTTCGTCATTATAACTATTTTACAATAAAGTATACATGCTATTGACCAAATTTATATGCATGAGACCCACGAGTGAACCTTCTTTTCGTGTTGAAATTTGAGTTGAACGAGATTTTTTTCTCGAAATTTCATGTTTTTTTTACAAAATTGTTTATAACTTTTTATTGAATGATTTTTTTTTAATTCTGACTCCGGATTCGAAAATTACATTAAATTTTACGTGAGAAATCATGTCTGAAAAGTTTTTTAAACAATTTTTAGTCGGTGTAATTCATCGCTATAAATGTTGTCTAAAAATGGTCACTTCAGGCGTTAAAGGGTTAAAAAGGTTGAATGGGAAAAATTGGTTTCATAATAAAGATTAACTATCAAATACGATAATTATTCCGTTAGTGAATCACTTTTGTATAATCAAAAACGCGGTTTTTATTTACGTCACTACGAATATAAATACAAGACGAAAAAGATTAGGAGCTCAGTATAGTTTTGTGTAGCGACGAGCCAAGAGCAGCGCACGGATTATCTAACAATGATGTCGACATTCGCGACGTTTTGGGCGGTCGCCTTACTCGGCTCAGTTTCGACTGCCAGCGCCTACAGGAGTTTATCGTTCGAAGTCGACGCTAATAGCAACACCCACCATCCAACGTTTTCAGAGTGGTCCTCGGAAAATGCCACTTTTACCTATTACAGCTCGTGCGGAAATAACTTCCAAAATGACGCCGAACCGAAGGAATGTATTGTGAATCGATTGCAGAATGATTTCTCGGGAACCAGTCCAAAGGAGGATAGGTGCAACGTCAAGCTGCACCCCCGTTTCGAATCGTTTCGAAGGTTGATAACTCGCAGCTCACTTATCCACTTGATTTTCCGGGCAAAGAAGGGACAGGGAAGATTATGTTTCCATTGTCAGAGGACAAGGGCTATTTGTTGATGGAACTTGCTTACGAGATCCGTAACGATGTACGAGTGACAATGGCACTTATTCAGCCAAATGGTAATTAATAAAGATACTAGTTTTGTTTTTCAGTGATTTAAATTAATACTAATGAGACATTTTAAACTTTTCCAGGTCAAAGACGAAATTTAACTCATTGTATAACTCAAGATTTCTCGAAGTTGTCCTTGGACAATGGATTGATCGGAATATGCACCCAAAACTACACAACCCTGAAATGCACCCAGTTCAAGCCCGACGACGAAGAGATCAACTGGTTTTCAACCAGTTTGATTGCCCAACCATACACACTACACTCCATGTACACCCGGCGTTCAGAATATCTGTCCGATCCGAAATTCTCTCGTTCCCAAAATTCGGAGTCGCTCTATGTTAGTCAAATTTCATGGTTGCGAGACGAACAGCCTTTATGAATAGCAGACACACCGATTCATGGTAATGCATGGTGAGCATGTAAACATGTCAAATTTTATTCAATTTTAATTTGATTTTAATTTGATTTTAATTTGATTTTAATTTGATCAATTTTAATGCTGGCAAAAATATTCCAGACGGTAAGTGTTAACCCATTTTTATTCAATTTTTGTAATTGAATTGGTTTATAATTTTTTTTTTCAAAACTTTACTTGGTGTAAGATGATTTTTAACACAGAAATATTATCATTCAACAATTTCTAAAAAAAGTAAAACGAAAGAAGCTAATGAAAAGTGATGGGAGTAAGTTTTTTTTCCTTATAATGTGTAACTGTAAGAGTCTTGCTCTTTATAAGACTTTTTGCTTTTTGATGATACATTCATTTATATCAAATCATTCTGTTGCAGAGCATGGTGATTTTTAGCAGTTGAGTTGTGTGTTACTGCAACACAGTTTAATTTTTTCAAAACAATGCATTACTTTGTGGGTGTTGATGTTGGCACTGGAAGTGTCCGAGCTGCTCTAGTTGATTCGCTGGGTAAAATTTTAGAGACTGTTGTAGAACCGACAGTGAAATATAATCCTCAAGCATCGTGTTATCAACAATCATCTGATAATGTATGGGCTTCAATTTGTCATGTGGTTGAGGTAACTGAATTAAAAAAAAATTTAACCATCAAATAATTCATTCAAATTTAATTATTGCGTCATTTTAGAAAGTTGTGGCTGGTGTTCCAAAAAGTTCGATAAAAGGAATTGGAACTCTTTCTTGGCTCCTAAAAATTTAATTATTCAATCAAACCCAAATCCAGTTACCCAATTAACATCAACATCAAGAGTTATATATCAACAACTACCATCTGCGCACTACATTTCATCGAATCAATCAGTATCAAATTTGTCTGTATCAACTTCATTAATGAATTCATCACCTGCTTTATCAACAACATCAATAATGACAAATGAAACAAGAGCTCTACCAAAAGTGTTGCTTGTGTCGAACAATGTATCAAGAATATAAACTGCACCATCTACTTCTTCATCAAGCACACCATCATCAATACTGTCAAGGACACTAAATGTATCTCCATTAATCTCCTCGATGAATAAATCAAATTTGATTCAAGTTTCATCGTACAATCAAATAAATGGTACACTTTTTAAATTATATACAATTCCATACTGGATTTGAACAATATATTTTATTTTTGATTTTAGAAGCTGATGAAAGAAACCAATTCATTGTCAGAGCTTCTGATATAATTCAAATGAATGGAGAAAAAAACATAATGGGTGTCCCGTATTGCAATATTAAGGGCAAAGCTCGCTTGTGCCACCTTGTCAGAAGAAAGACGTGCGCAGCTGTAGCTTTAGGTGTTCCAGGTGTTGTAGAAAGCATGAAAGTTTCAACACAATCTAATTCTGAAAGATCGGCAAGGTATGCTTTTGAATAAGCTCGAAGACATGGCAGAAAAAAAGTAGGTTGATATTTAAATTGTGTTGAATATGAGTGTTTCTGACTAACTTTTAAAATTGCACGTACTGATGTGTAAGTCAGGTAATTTACGATGCACAGTTCTGAAATTTTATCAGGGTCTTTAAGAAGACTTGAGAGATCTACACTTTTATTTTTGAGCGTTTTGGTGGCACGTCCTTTTTGTATCGTACGTTTAAAAATCGATTTTACTCTTGAGTCAAAAAACGTACTGCGATAAAGTATTCACATACTTTAGAAAAATTTGTGACCTGAACTTGATCCTCCTAAATTGGAAATTTCCCAGAATGTTTTCCGCGCGTACTGGATTATTTGAACTTTTAGCTTTTTTCTATACATTTTCATTTTTTACAATGGACTATTGTTTTTTTTTTATATCTGTATACATGTTTAAAAAGGGCTTGAAAAGACGAACAAAATGAGCCCAACCAGAACTCTGTTCCTTATTTAATAAGAATTGTAAGCTGGATTGAACATTCGATAATCCTGCGTTAATCACTTAAAAATTTT